GGTTATCCACATCCTCCTGAATATGCTTATAGCAACTTGTTTTGCTTATTGGAAGTGAAAGTAAGAATTTTTGTATTTTATTTCTCTAGAGAAATTCCTGAGAAGTTGAATGAGACCTTCTAGGGTAGCTGATTACCCCACTAGTTGGCATTCTTAGGACTAGTTCTTTCTTTCACAGGTCTGTTAGGAGTAAATGAGCTTTGTCCTTGTATTCGTGTTTTTTTTTTTTTTTTTGTGAGGAAGATCAGCCCTGAGCTAACATCCATGCCAATCCTCCTCTTTTTTCTGAGGAGGACTGGCCCTGAACTAACATCTATTGCCAATCCTCCTCCTTTTTTTCCCTTTCTCTCCCCAAAGCCCCAGTAGACAGTTGTATGTCATCGTTGCACATCCTTCTAGTTGCTGTATGTGGGACGTGGCCTCTGCATGGCCCAACAAGTGGTGCATCGGTGAGCGCCCGGGATCCGAACCCGGTCCGCCACTAGCGGAGTGCGTGCACTCAACTGCTAAGCCACGGGGCCGGCCCCTTGTATTCACTTTTAAACGTTCTAGGAATCGAAGGCCTGCTGGGACAGGTATACGGTGGACAGCACAGGGATACATTCTGAGAAATGCGTTGTTAGGCAACGTCAGCGTTGTGCAAACATTGTAAAGTGTACTTACACAAACCTAGATGGTATAGCCTGCACACCTAGGCTCTATGGTACTAATTTTATGGAACCACTGTCGTATGTCTGGTCCCACACTGACCAAAATGTCATTATGGCGCTCATGATTGTGTATAAGGTGGCACACTGGGGATCGTTCAGACCAGAGTTCATGTTCCTGCTCTGCCTTCACTTACTCTGTGACTTCCGGGCCGTTTCTCATCTCCTCTGGGCCTCCCTTTCCTGTGTCTCTATGAAAAGGAGATAAATACCCACCTCACGGTGGATTAAATGAGCCGACAGGTGTAAAACACATTGCACGGAGCCCAAGAGTGTAAAAGATGCAGTTGTTATGTTCTGCCAGTAACAATTACAGTACCAGTGTGTGGGGTTTCCCCCTCCACCAAGCAGTTCTCCAGCACCGCTGCGTATCCTACAATTCCACTCAATTCTGACGCCATCTCCCTGGAGATGGTATTAGATTCCACAGATTAAGGACTCAGTCCTACAAGACTGCCTCTACCTCCACCACCACCACTTCAGACACCGATTGTCAATCCTAAATCCAGTTATCACTTGTGCTTCTGACCAACAGCTCTAGCTCGGAGGTTCCCACCTCCCCCTCCTTGGGTTCGATTAACTTGCTAGAGTGGCTCACAGAACTCAGACAGTTTACTTACTAGATCACCAGTTCATTATAAAAGGATGTAACTCAGGAACAGCCAGATGGAAGAGATGCATAGGCCAAGGTGTGGGGAAGGGGCTCGGAGCCTCCGTGCCCTCTCCGAGCGTGCCGCTCTCCTCAAATCTGCACATGTTCGCCAACCTGGAAACTCTCCGAACCCTGTCCCTTTGGGTTTCTATGGAGGCTTCATGATGTAGGCATGATTGAGTAACTCATTGGCCATTGGTGATTGATTCAGCCTCCAGCCCCTCACCCTCCCCATAAATTAAGAGGTGGGGCTGAAAGTTTCCACCCTCTAGTCACAGGGTTGGTTCTCCTGGCAACCAGCCCCATCCTTAAGTGCCTTTTAAAAGTCACCTCATTAACATAACAAGAGATCTTAATTATTCTCATCACTTGGGACATTTCACGGGTTTTTAGGAGCTCTGTGCCAGGAACGGGGTCAAAGATGAAATATATATTTATTATAAATCACAATATCACGTCTGTTGATCCACTGTAACTGTTCTGTAGAGGGGATGTCCCGGCAGGCGGCATGAGAGAATTCAGCCCTGTGGAAGGGCCCTGGAACATCCTCGGTGGGATTGTGCTAGGCCTGTGATTCCCAGACCTGGCTGTATCACGGTTAACCTGTGAAGCCCGGGAGCTGTGCCAACATGTCAGAGAGCTTGATTCAACTTTTGTTGGTCGAGGCCTGGCCTCTGTGCCTCACAGACCCCATGGGTCTCCGGCTGGGCTTGGACGCCTTGCCTCTGGGCTGAGCCGCAATCCTGGTAAACAGACTGTCAGAGCTGAGCTGAGAAGCTGGCTGCAGCTTCTTCTCCTTAGCTTTCAGCATTTTTGCAGGTGGCTTTCGAGTGTTTGAAAGCTGGCTAGAATTACCAAGGTCATGCCCTGGCTGCCTGGCCCAAATCCTGTCCCAGGCCAGTGGGAAAAGCAGTCTTCTCTGAGATAACATGGGAGGTGTGGAGGCAGAGACCAGGTCTGGAGTAGAAACCTCAGGAGGGCTGGAGGTCCGGTCCCCCCACCTGCCGAGGGTCAGCCATGTGACTGTGGGAGGCCCTGTGCAGGTGTAAGGAGGTGAGGTACCAAGGGCCTTCCCTCTGTCCCCTGAACTGCCCTCTCTGGAGGTGTCACTCTGGTTTTTGATGTCACCCCTGTGCTTTCCCCAGCCTCTTCCTTAAGTGTTCCAACCCAGTGTGGACCCAAACCTTTTTCTTTGGTTTCTCTTAGCATGCCTGTGACTAAACTTTCCTAAATACAAAGGGAAAACAAAAAAGGATGAAATAATCGGAGAAAATGCCAGCAGCTCTCAGAGAGCCACATTTCTGTAGGTCCAGCCTCTGCCACCACCGTGGCTAACTCTCTCCAGGCCACCGACTAAGGCCCTGTCCAAGGGCGCGTTTGGACAGTGCCTAGAGACGTCTTCTTAAGTGCCAGGCACCTCCCATCCCCTTCTGGATGAGAGTCCCATTATCCCAGGTCTCCTGGGTCAGAATGGGTGGTCAGTAGGGCTGTTGAATTTGTCCTTGCCCTTCACCAGGTGGGTGCCCAGTAGCTTGGAAGAAAGCTCCTGCTCATTCACTCAGCAAACATTCACTGATTCTAAGCTTCTTGGGCAGGGATTGGGTCAGTATTTATTGTACAAAACATTTATTCCTGCCCAAAGCACACAGAGCTCTCAGGACAGCAGCTGAGTCATGCCAAATACTCAGTGTCAGCTGTCATTTTTATTCGTGTGTGTGTGTGTGTGTGTGTGTGTGTGTGTGTGTGTGTATGTGTGTATGTTGGGGGAGGGGCAGTGTGGGTGTGTGCAAAGGATCTCCACTGTGTGGCCTGCGGAGACACAGAGCTGGGTTCAGATTCCAGCCCTGTGTGAGCCCAGGCAAGTCACTTCCCAGAGCCTCAGGCTTACCACTGTAAAATGGGGCTCCTGCTGCCTCCTCTCGGGGTGGTGACGGGATGGCAGGAGCTAGCTGACACGCAGGGCCCAGAGAGGGGCCAGCCCATCTGCCCTCCAGGGACTACAGGAGAAACTGAGGACCCACAGCAGGAATATCAGACAGATGCCTGCTGAGTGGTTACCTGATGGCTACAGGCTTTAGGAGGGTGAGGTCAAGTGTTGACAGCTACAGGGTGTAGGAGAGAGGTCAGGAGGGAGTTGGATAGGTGAGGTGCCTGCCTTGCCATTTCCAGCTGATTGATTTTTGAGTAACCACTCTGGGCCTTGGTTTGCTGCTGTATAAAATGGGGGCTGAGGGTGATAAAACGTGATAGGGTCATTGTCAGGTTAGCCAAAACAAGCCATGGAGTGCACCCACCCTGGTTCAGTCAATACTGATTCCCTCTTCTGCTCACTCAGCCGCCCCTGAGGAGAAGCTCCTTATGCAAAATGCATTTGGCTTTCCCCAGTCTGCTTCCCTGGAGGCTCGGGACCCTCTGCCAACCAGGCACATGGGGCTGGGGACTCTGGCCTGACCAAGGCGCTGTTCACTTTAAGAGCTGGCTTCCTGATGCTGGTCCTTGTAGGGCCTCAGTCCTGACCTGACTGCCAGCCTGTTGTTTTGGGGTTTGGTGATTGTTCGGAAAAATAACAAACTGCAGATTGTCACAGGAGTTAATAACATCAGCAATTCTGTGAAACAGTCCCTCCTCCCCACAGTCGTTCCGCTTGTTGGGAAATAGCCCCTCAGGCCTTGTGGACTGGGGGGATCTGCCACAGTGTTCTCCCCCGTCATGATCCCTTCTTGCCGTGATTAGGGCCCAGGAAGCCTGGAGGGAGTCTTGACCGAGGGCACTCTCGGACTTGTGTCCTCAGCCTTTCAGAGGCAGGGGATGGGGATATTTTCCCACAGGGCATCTTGGACTTAGTGGCTACATCAGCTGAGTGGGCTGCTGGCCATACACCCACGTCACTGCACTTCTCTTGTCAAAGTTCTCAGTCTTTCTCAGACTTTTTATGCATTCTGAACCCTGTGGGTAAACCCCTAGGGGGCTGGAACCAGGTCTTCTTTTTCTTTATGCCTTTTTTCTGTCCCTCCCACTCTCTTCCCTCAACCAGCAGGCGAGAGCAGCTGGTGGAGTGGGCCGGGGGTGCTCAGCAGCAGGCACTCCGAGCGTCGAGCATCGCTGGCCTGGTCAGTCATCTTCATTCCGCGGGGGTTATCTGAAGGCTGGCTGTTTGCAGATCCCCGGGGGGCCTGGGGAGGAGGGAGACGCGGCAAGTAGATGAGGTCTTCACGGGTTGATGGGAAATAATGTGGGCGGTTGGCGCCATGGGAGTTCTGGAAAGGACTGCTCCTTTCTTGATGGGAAGAAGAAAGGAGTTGCTGTACCGCTGGACTGTCAGCAGGTTTGAGGACCGGCTGCAGCTGCATTTGCTCGGACTGGGGCATTTCATCTCCTTCCCCGGGGGTACATGTGGCAGGCGGGGTGGGCAAGTGTCTTCCTCCTCCTCACCTACGACCTTGGTGGAGGTTTGTTCCAGCCGCCGGCACTTAGTAGAAGTGGCTGCTAGACCGTCATGTGACGCAGCCCAGGGATGGCAATTTGATGGTCATCTCACCTCAGGGTTTCGCATGGGACAGTCTTTAAACTTGGTTTGTATGGCTGCTTTGGGATTAGGGCTCTTCAGTGAAACATTTCCTCCTCTGTTCTCCAATCACCAGGAAAGGATCGAATCATATTTGTGACCAAAGAAGACCATGAAACTCCAAGTAATGCGGAGCTGGTGGCTGATGACCCCAATGATCCGTACGAGGAGCATGGTGAGTGGTGTGGGGCCTCCCAGGGACCCGCAGACATGTACTGGGGGAAATGTTCAGTGTTCAAAATTCCTTTCCCATTTGACCTGGCCACGGCTGGGTTTTCAGGTCTCCATCTCAGCCATGGCCCGTCTCTCAGGACAGCAAGTTCGTCTCCCTCAGAGGCGTAAGTGCTTCCAGCCCTTTCTCTGATGCACTTTCCTGGCCATCAGGCCAGAAACTAAGAGTTTGTCGTTACTCAAGTCTTCTGCCTCTTTTTCTTCTGAAGTTTTGCACTGACTTAAGCTCGTTGGATGCTTCTCAGTGATTAAGTTTTAGGGGGTGTCAGAAGATTCCAGCAGTTACAAGTAGGTTAAGGTGACAGGGATCCTCCTGCTCGGTCAAGTTGCCAGACTGAATCCTGCCAGGTCTGCATACGCTGTTAGCCAGCTGGCCTGGAAGAGTCACAGCCTTGTTCTGTGCGGTGGTGAAGCCGCTGCTCTCCTTGCAGGCGCTCCAGCAAGCACCTTGCGTGGAAAGCTGACTTGAGAGAGAGGGACGGTTTCCCAGCTGTGGGATTCAGCTAACCCAGTCAGAACTGCCGCGCACAACTCGGTTAGTGGTCAGCGGTCACGGGGGCCTAGGGCGTCACTTCAAAGGCCTGGGGCTGCTGGACTCTCTGGAACTCAGCCAGCCTGTGAGGCAGATGGATGTGTGTGCAGCATTCATAAACAGTCCACATATTGTCAGCAGTCCTCAGTTCACGGGTCTAAAGCCCTTCTGACCTCGCTGCTGATAACTGACAAACCTTCTGGTGCTGAGTGGTGATAACTGTGGTTGAAGGAGCTTGTGGCAGCCGCCTATAGAGTGTGGGCTCCTGATGGGAAGCTTTCAAATGCTGACTGAAGTGTGTATTCTTAGGTAGGGTGCGTCTCGTGTTACCCTTACTGCTCCTAGGGATCAGAGTCAAGCTAAGGATGCACACCTAGCACCCTGCTGGGAACAGTGGGAAGTGCAGATGGTATACAAAGTGTTAGCATTCTGAGAATGACAGCTACGGGAGGAATCCTGAATCAGCACTCTTCTAAAGAAAAATAAATCACGTGTAAATTCCAGTACTTTGCCTATCTTTAGATCCATATCAGTTGAGCACATTTCATTAATTGGCCGAGACTCTGTGGGGCCTGCAGGACAAATCAGGCCTTGTTTTGTTTGCCTCTTAGTGTTTTTAAATACTGAATGTGTCTGGGGCCACCCCAGTGGTGTAGCAGTTAAGTTTGCACACTCTGCCTTGGTGGCCTGGGGTTTGCGGGTTCAGATCCCATGCTCATCAAGCCATGCTGTGACGGCGTCCCATATAAAGTAGAGGAAGATGGGCACGGATGTTAGCCCAGGGCCAGTCTTCCTCAGCAAAAAAATAAATAAATAAAAAACACCTGAATGTGTCTGCCTCGAGACTGCGCATTCCCTTCCAGTTCCCACCAGTCTTTATCGTCCGTCTTGCTTTCTCTCCTACCTGCTTCTGTGATTTACAATAATCTGCTTGGACTCTAGGTATTTGCCTTTGCAACCCTTTCTAGTGACTCAATATATGAAGAAGCATATAAAACAGAACTCTCGGACCCAGGCTCTGAGCTCTCAATTGCAAAGTTACTGAGCAGACTAAGGAGGCCGCCAGTTATGCTAGCTGCCTGCGTCCCAGCATCCAGCTCTGTGGCTGAGATGGCACTGGGAACAGCTAAGAGTGCCATGAGAAAGATGGCGGGATTAATTTTCATAGACCAAAAAGACAGGAGGGCCTGAAAGACCGCCCGGTCCGGTGGGAAAGCTGAGGGTCTGGAGGAGGTGGGGACTGGCCAGGAGGTCAGTAGCAGGGACTAGAACTCGAGGCCTTTTATTACGTTTGACAGCATGCTGCATCTGTGCTTAGGGTAACATGTGGAAGCTGCCACCTGCGTGGTTCTACACTGTCCCTGAAACGCAGATGGGCACTGTAAGCGTTCTCTATGAGGGGCTCCCTCGTTCTGGCTCACCTTCCCTTGAGAAATAAGGAAACGAGGACTCCTAAAGACCAGGGCTGTTATTTTTAAATGTTAGTATTATTTCTTTTGGAAACTGGTTGTGTAGGTTTGTTACCAGTTTTGAGCCTCCAGGGGACAGCATTTGTGTGTTTCCAGCACTGAGATGGCCTGCAGAGTAGGGAGAGGTGGTGAGAGGTGAGGGAAATGGCACGGGCTCTGGGATCCTACAGGCCCTGGCTGTAGTCCTGATGTGGACCCCACTGAACCCCCAAAATCTCATATGGAAACTGGGGTTAGTAGTACCTACTGCAGAAGGTTGTCAAAGGATTGTGTGATTTCACCACGTAAAGCTGAATACACAAGAACGTGCTCTGCAGCTATTGGTGGTGCTACTGGAGAACTGCCTGCTGCGGGGCAGTGCCCGTGGACGTCTCCACTGTTAGCCCATTTACCAGAGAGGGACCGCAGCAATAGATTTGTTGATCAGTGAAGCTTCCTGAGCTAGAATTAAGAGGCGGGGTTCAGCATAGGCCCAGGACTTGGGACACTAGCTCAGAGTGCCATGCCTGGTACTTCCCTGGAGTGAAAAATCATGTGTAGTTTCACTGGGCATGTTAGAGTCTTTCCTCAAGAATGCTCTCAGTCTCTGTAGAAGACTCAGGTAAGAAACTTACATGAATCATATTTCTGTGTCTGTCACAAAGCTGAAAATGAAGCAATCATCTTGAAAACATTTTAGAAAGCCAAGAAATACTATTTAGATGTGAAAAGTTTCAAATATAAGAAAAAGTGTACAATTCAAAAGTAAGGGGCCTATATAATACTGCAAATGAAAATCCATCTGTAATCCCACCCCCTTCCCAACGCATATGTACAGTTTAACAGTTTGGTAAATATGGTTAATATTCCTCTAGGTTTTTCATTTTCACAAGACTAGAGCCACACCACTCTGACATGCCACTAGCCTTTTCCTTGTACAGCATGTCTTGGACATTTTCCCGGTCAGTGCAGAAGGATCCACCTCCTCTTTACCAGTCCTCACCCTGAGCCGAGCTGAGAGCAGCCGCAGAGCGAGGGGCTTGAGGGGGAGGGTGCATGCTGGGGAGTCCTGACCGTTTGTACAGGAGCGGAGCAGAGAGTGAAAGGAGGAGCTCAGGGCCTCAGCTCCTTAAAGTGTTGGGGCTTTCAGAAAGCCTCTTGCTAACCATCCAGGTGCTCCCCTCTGCTTTGGATTAAATGGTTTCCAGTATGTAGTTCTTGGAGCATAGCCACAGCCACAGCACTGGGAGGCGGCTTAGAGTATAGATCAGTGTTGCACATGGAGAGAGATGCTGATGGTGGCTTTTCTCCACCTGAGCCAGGAATGCTGGACTTGTGCCAGGCATTTGAACCCGAGCCAAATCAAGAAGTAGGTCCACGCGCGAGTGCCAGAACAGTCCATACTGTTCCGCACCTTCTGAGTGGCCTGTGAGGACTGGCCTTGGTCTTGCTTTTTCTGAAACCTTAGAGAATCTCTCTCACATTTTCCTTGCCCATTTTCCTGTTCCAGGCTTGATCCTGCCAAACGGGGACATTAACTGGAACTGCCCGTGCCTTGGGGGAATGGCCAGCGGCCCCTGTGGGGAACAGTTCAAGTCGGCCTTCTCCTGCTTCCACTACAGCACGGAGGAGGTCAAGGGGTCGGACTGCATAGACCAGTTCCGGGCCATGCAGGAGTGCATGCAGAAGTACCCAGACCTCTATCCCCAGGAGGACGAGGAGGAAGAGGAGAAGAAGCCACCAGAACCTTTAGAGGAAACAGCTGGCCCTGAGGCCACCGCGCCCAGAGAGGAGGAAGGGTCCAGCTAATGAAGGCCCCGAGGCCCGGCCCCAGTCCTTCGTCTCCGGAGTGATGGGAACGTTTTGCACAATGCCTTTCGGTCGCTCTCCAAGAAGGTGTCTTTCCCTTTTGTTCTGTGCACTGTAATGTACAAAATAACTTATTGTGATCATCAGGGGTCTTGGTCCCTTGACATATACACTGAAAAAAACAGAGTTGTGTGTATGTGTGTCTCACATAAGCCTATCAGCGAACGTAGCTGCCACTTTTGAATTTTGCCCTGAATTTTGCCACTTTGAAATAATGTGCTGAATATTCTCAGCACTGTGATTGAGCTGATTTATTCTGATTCATTATAGCCTTTTTAGTAGATTTTATACCCCTTTGGGAAATGAAATAGAAAAAAACCAAAAACTTCCTTTAAGAATGCTGGAGTGGGGCCATTCCTCGTAGAAGAGGCCAGATGATCAGATACTTATTTCTCAACAAGCATCTTGACCTTGAGTGTATGAGGAGGTACTGTCCTTCATTTCTGAGACATTTGGTTTCCATTTTTACATTGAGCTCCGGGTTTTCGGTTTGGAAAGTGGAGCTTTAGATCCTCGGATTCACAATCCCTTTCTGAGGGGAGGGAGAGGCTGGTTTGCCGTTCTTCTTATTCCTAAAGCCCTGGTTTGGGGCCTGCGTTCACACTGGCTCTGTCTCAGCCTGTCCAGATGCAGTGTTCTTGAGAGGTGGGGACCTGATTGTTACCAAAGTAGCAGCCAAGAGAGGAAAAGCTGTGAATTAAGTAGTCAATTTAAAGGAAAACATGATTTTTACCTGATTTTGAATGTGTCCTTTGTTTTTACTAATTAAAAGTGTTTTTGATGTAAGGAAATAAAAATTATGAAAAATTTAATTGAAATTCCTCTTTGGAGATACTGGTAAACCAGGTGGAGTCTGTTAAAATTTTCTATGTCGAGTTCATAGCAAGCTAACTATTTTATCTGTGAGCAGATGCCTTCACGCAGACGTGGCAGTTAATCCGTGAGGGGGGAAGGCCCTTCCCATTTGAAGATAAGGAACCCAAAGCCCTTGCAGGTTAAGTAACTTGCCCAAGGTGACTGCTAGACAGTTTTCAGGCTATGATGTAGTCATGCCTCATTTGTCCCAGGTGTGTTAGTTACCTGTTGCTATGTAGAAAATTACCTTAAAACTTAGCTGCTTGAAACAACAAACACTTATCATCTCACGATTTCTGTCGGTCAGGAATCGGGGCATGGCTTACCTGGATCCTCTGGCTCAGCCTCTCTGGAGGCTGTGATCGAGGTGTCGGCCAGGGTTGCAATCATCTTGAGGCTTGGCAGGCTCTCCAAAATCACTCAGGTGGTTTGGGGTGGGAGTCAGTTCCTTGTGGGTTGGAGTGAGGGCCTCAGTTCCTCGCTGGCAGTTGGCCAGAGTCCTCCCTCAGTTCCTTGCCACGTGGGCCTCCCCTTAGGTCATCTCACAGCATGGCGGGTGGCGTCCATCAGAGCAAGCGAGAGAGCAAGATGGAAGCCAGAGCCGTTTTGTAAACTAATCTCAAATGACGTTCATCATTTCACCATATTCAATTTGTTAGGAGTGAGTCACAGCCCACACTCAACAGGAGGGACCCAAGGGCGTGAGTACCAGGAGGGTGCCTTCCACACTTGAGAACGAGGTCACAGCACATTAAAGCTTGAAAGCACAGATGGGAGGATGTGGTTCTGAGGTGTTAGGGGCGTAGAGAACTTGGTATCTAGATCCAGAACTTTTTAAAAACTTGGTTAGGAGCCAAGAACCTGCAGCTGGCCAAGTCTGGAAGCTCTGCTAGCCCTGAGAAGGGCCCTCATGACTCCTTTTAGCCTCACGGAGCCTTGCACGTTTAACATCTTTTCAGTGAAAATTTTGATCGCCACAAAAATGTTACTGATTTGTGACCATGTCATGGATCCTGTTCATTGGATGCATTCAGGACACCTCCACGGTCCAAGTCCTAGGGACATGGGAAAATGACTCATGTTTGATACCTGCCTGCATGAAGCTCCAGTCCAGTCAGGAAGCCAGCGTTGACTAGGAAGTAGAGAGAATGGATGGGGATTGCACGACGGCACTGGATTCTCAGCGTAGATTATTTTCTTCTAGCCATAGTATTTCTTACAGCAGAGCTTCTCAAACTGTCTTTGCTCAAGTGCATTTGGTTAGACAAAAGATTCCATCTTTTTCCTCTTTTCAGTGGAAAAACAACTTGGTGGTGAGAAAGGGCCACTGCATAAACAATGGGGAGTGGGTGGAGGGGTTATGCTTTAGAATCAGCGGTTTGGCTGATTCATTTTTTTATTGAGGTATAATTGACATACAACGTTATATTAGTTTCAGGTGTACAACATAATTTGGTATTTGTATATATTGTGAAATGAGCCCAAGAAGTCGAGTTAACACTCATCACCACACATAGGTGCAGAAATTTTTCTTGTGATGAGAACTTTTAAGATTTACTCTCTTAGCAACTTTCAAATATACAATACAGTATTATTAACTATAGCCAGTCCTGGTGGTCTAGTGGTTAAGATTCGGCACTCTCACCGCATGCAGCCCAGGTTCCTTTCCCGTTCGGGGAACCACACCACCTGTCTGTCGGTTGTCATACTGTGGTAGCCGCGTGTTGCTGTGATGCTGAAAGCTACACCACCAGGATTTCCAACACCAGCAGGGTCACCCACGGTGGACAGGTTTCAGCAGAGCTTCCAGACTAAGACAGACTAGGAAGAAGGACCTGGCCACCCACTTCTGAAAAAATTGGCCATGAAAACCCTATGAATATCAGTGGGGCATTGTCTGATAGAGCGCCGGAAAGTGAGAAGATGGCACAGCAAGACCAGGCAGGGTTCCACTCTGCTGCCCACAGGGTCGCTAGGAGTCAGAATCGACTCAACGGCACTAACAGTTATTAACTACAGTTGCCATGCATCCCCATGACATTTATTTTATAACCGGAAGTTGATACCTTTTGACCCCTTCACCCATTTCTCCCATCCTCTGCCCCCCTGCCTCTGGCAACCACCAATTTTTTCTCTGTATCTATGAGCTTGATTTTTTTTAGATTCCACATGTAAGTGAGGTTATACAGTATTTCTTTCTCTGTCTAACGTATTTCACTTAGCATCATGCTCTGGAGGTCCATCCATGTTGTTGCAAATGGCAAGATTTCATTCTTTTTATGGCTGAATAATATTCCATTGTATATATGTGTATGCATGCATATACATATACGTATATGCATATATATACACACCACAATTGCTTTATCCAGTCATCTGTTGGTAAAAACTTAGGTTATTTCCATGTCTTTTTTGTGTGTGTGTGAGAGGAAGATTGGCCCCAAGCTAACATCTGCTGCCAATCTTCCTCTTTTCGCTTCAGGAAGTGTCCATGAGCTGACATCTGTGTCAATCTTCTTCTATTTTGTATATGGGATGCCGCCTCAGCATGGCATGATGAGCGGGGCATATGTCTGTGCCTGAGATCTGAGCCTGTGACCCCTGGGCCTCCAGGGGAGTGCCTGAACTTAACCAGTACGGCGCTGGGCCAGCCCCTGTTTCCACGTCTTGGCTGTTGTAAATAAAGCTGCCGTGAACGTGGGGGTGCAGGTATCTTTTTCAGTTAATGTTCTTGTTTTCTCCAGATAAATACCCAGAAGTGGAATAGCTGGATCATATGGTGGTTCTATTTTTAATTTTTTGAGGAAACTCCTTCTGTTCTCCATAGTGTTTCAGTCAGAGTTTAATATTTTTTGCAAATGGTATAAAACCTGAACAAAATTGCTACTCTCTAACTCCTGGATTAGATCTATAATATCTCTAATTTTCTTACTGTATTGGCGATCTCAGGTGTTACCTAAGGCCACATGCCAGTGTGGGGGCCCGAGTGTTCTAAGTGAAGGCAGCAACCAAACTGAGAGGCCGAGGGAAAAACAACCACAAAACACTTTCTTTCATGACATCGGTCTTAGCAACATCTTCTCAAACACCACGTCTGACCAGGCAAGAGAAACAATAGAAAAAATAAACAAATGGGACTACAGCAAACTAAAAAGCTTCTGCACAGCAAAGGAAACCAGCAACAAAACGAAAAGACAACCTAACAATTGGGAGAAGATATTTGCAAATCATACATCTGATAAGGGCTTAATCTCCAAAATATATAAAGAACTCATGCATCTCAACAACAAAAAAGCTACCAACCCAATTAAAAAATGGGCAAAAGACCTGAACAGACATTTCTCCAAAGAAGATATACAGATGGCCAACAGACACATGAAAAGATGTTCAAAATCACTAACTATCAGGGAAATGCAAATCAAAACTGCAATGAGATATCACCTCACGCCGGTCAGAATGGCTATAATTAACAAGACAGGAAACAACATGTGTTGGAGAGGATGTGGAGAGGAGGGAACTCTCATACACTGCTGGTGGGAGTGCAAACTGGTGCAGCCACTATGGAAAACAGTATGGAGATTCCTCAAAAAATCAAGGATAGAACTGCCATATGATCCAGCTATTCCACTGTTGGGTATTTATCCAAAGAACTTGAAAACACCAATTTGCAAAGGTACATGCACCCCTGTGTTCATTGCAGCGTTATTCACAATAGCCAAGACTTGGAAGCAACCTGAGTGCCCATCAAGGGACGAATGGATAAAGAAGATGTGGTATATATACACAACGGAATACTACTCAGCCATAAGAAACGATGAAATCCAGCCATTTGTGACAACATGGATGGACACTGAGGGTATAATGCAAAGTGAAATAAGTCAGAGGGAGAAGGTCAAATACCGTATGATTTCCTTCATTAAGTAGTAGATAATAACAACAATAAACAAACACATAGGGACAGAGATTGGATTGGTGGTTACCAGAGGGGAAGGGGGGAGGGAGGAGGGTGAAAGGGATAATTCGGTACATGTGTGTGGTGATGGGTTGTAATTAGTATTTTGGTGGTGAACATGATGTAATCTATGCAGAAATAGAAGTACAATGATGTACACCTGAAATTTTTACAATGTTATAAACCAATGTTACTGCAATAAACAAAAAATTTAAAAAAAATTAAAAAAATAAAAATAAATAAATTAAAAAAAAAACACTTCCTTTCAGGATGAGCCTGCCAACCTCCAAACCAGGCCATCATCAGGTGAAATACATAGTCTCAAATTCCTTTAAAGTAAATGAGTCAAGTAGATAAGTGAAGCAGTAACATACATAAAAGCAAGAAACTTGGCAATGGATTCTTATATCTAACATCAAAAGCATGAGCAACAAAGGAGAAAAAAATAAATTGGACTTCATCAAAATTAAAAACTTTTGGGACTGGCCCGGTGGTATAGCGGTGAAGTTCG